CTGGTGGCTGTCTGTGGCGTCGGCTTTTCATTTTGTCTTGGCCAAAAACCACTGTCGCTCAACACTCGTAGTAGTATAGGAACTTCTAATGGAGAATAATGTCTGATAAAAAGTTGAAAATGGCACTGGCATTGTTAGCCCTTGATGTGTGCGATCATTAAGATTTTAAGTTTGGGAGATCCTCGCACTTAGTAAGACCTAGGGCAGATAGACTCATGAAGGTAACTAGCATGATATCAGACCGAGGTGTTAATATCTGCCTTACATGAAGCAGAGAATCATGGAGAGTAGGCAGGCAAACCATCCATCCATCCATCTATTTTCTTCTGCTTATCTGAGGTTGGGTCGTGGTGGAGACAAGCACATTAAGTCAACCCAGACTTTCCTCTCACAGCAGTAATGTTTTCCAGCTCCTCCTCCTGGGGGATTCTGAGGCGTTCTCAGGCTAGATGGGATATATAATCCCTCCAGCGTAGCATGGAACACCTCAATTGACTTCTTTCGATGCAAAGGAGTAGTGCCACCCCAATATCTGAGCACCTCGCCCTATCTCTAAGGCTGAGCCCAATAGGAAACAGCATTCAATCTTCCCTTTAAATCTAGATACATTGGACTAACTTGGCTGATGTGGTCGCCATGGAAATGGTCAATTTTTTGTTCTCTGAAGGAAAAAAAATTGAGTTTATAAAAACGTAATTGCTCACAGTTTACCGCGTATAAAACCATGCCCACTGATTGCAAATCAGCAGACACGGTGCGCAGAGATTTGTAAATCAACAGTACAGATTTACACATGGCTCTTTGTTCCTCCTCAGCTGACACCAGGGGGCTCCATAACATTTAGTTTTGTAATAGGGTTGAACAAAACCATCCTCCAGACCCAAAATAAAATCAGTTTGCTTTTATCTCCATGGTTTCTCCTTTGTTTGTTTGCTTTGTTGTAGTTCTTCTCTTTTTTCTTTTTCTCTCTTTGGATGAGCAAATGTTCACATAAATACTATCAACTAAATATGTTTTAACAAATTTGTTGATGCTTATGTTGACATGCTTTGGGGTTTTTCTCCCAAATATATAAATAAATACAAGTATATAAAATAAAATAAAACAAATGTGTAAATCAAAATTTCTCAAATGTCTCATACAAAAGATACTTAATAAATTTATAACAGCTGTGTTATTGTTAGGATATATATACTGCTACGGTGCTAAAAAAAAAAAAAGCAATCAGTGTGGTGTGTAATATTATTTTAATGAGTGCCTGCAGAGAAATATGCTCCCAGTAAGGAAAACATCAATACAGAAACAAATATGTAACTCCTACATCAGACCCCCCTCCTATGAAAGAACCCATGGAGTATTTCTTTCTTCACATTTATGTTCTGAAAGGGCTAAAATATGTTTCAAAAATAAATAAATAAATAAAGTGGTTGGAAACCCGTATCAGGTTCCACTGTGTTTTAAAGCAAGTTGTAGAGTACTGCTAAAGACGACATGGGGCGGTGTCGCTCCTTTCTTGATGGGTTGAAAGCGGATGTAATTTAAGTGATCACTGCGAGTTTGGGTGCATTGCCTTCAAAATAAAAGCCAAAAAGTCGTTTGTTGAAATGTGTTCAAAATATTGTCTTTTATTTGTCATCCGCCAAAAGCTCAGATGATATAAATGAGAATACCGTTATGTATGTTCTTATAAACTTTATGGTTAACAGTTACATGACTAAAGCAGTAAATGAGTGGGCTTCAAGGAAATAAATAGCACACTAGGCTATTTGATTTAGTTTTTTCTTCTTATCGAGTATGTTCCAAATCATCCAGTATATTAACTTTGTCTCAATTCAAAGAAATACACAATTGTTGCATTTCCTCAAAAAGTCCTGAATAAAAGTAACATATGACCAAGCGAGACCTCCGGTGTTGAAAAATGAAGCCAATGCAGAGCTCCTGAAGTCACATACACAAAACATTCAAAAATGTGAGTTTTATTAGCATACATAAACATGTTTACAGCCTGGTACCAAAAACAAAATAGGTCTGATTAGTTATTGGCATCATGAGCACATACTGTACGGGGGTGACTTTTTTAAATAACGCATCTGTTTTGATTTTGTTTTAATTTCCTGAGGTGACTGACATTTTGGATGGAACATTTTCAATGCTGTAAAACAGGCTTGTATGCCGTGGTTGATTTAATAATTTTTTTCATTATATTTTGTTATTGCACAGTCTGCAGCCTACAGCACGACCAAGTCAAACCTTTTACATCCACAGAAATCAGACAGTAATACGTTAAGATACTAGTCACATGTGGTCATTCTAGTTTTAGAAGAAAATCTCTAAAACCTCAGTAAAGTTATGACCTGACAACCTCTAAAGTTCTAAAGACTCCCAAAGGTCACCACTTCTAAGTAACCACCTGTCGGACAGTATTACGCCCGTAAAACTTCAACTCCTCTTACACTTTTCTTACAAATCAAACATTGCAGTTTTGACATGTTTACTGGTGAGCCAGATATCACATTTGTAAAGCCGGCTGCCACAGCGACCACATTGTCACTGCAGGCTTTATTTAGCCAACAAACCTGATCTTCTCATCTCACTTTCTATGAAAAATCACTGTATGACAAATATTTGCACATTTCATGATCAGCATAGAGAGGATTTCTTCTTCACTTGAGCTAGCCCGAGGATAGACACAGCAGAACGGTGACCTGAGGTTGTTCTCTCGCTCTTCCAGTAACCTAACCCAGGAACACAGGGAAACAACAACAACAAACAAAACAAGCCCATTATGAATTTAATGAAACAAGAAACCACACAATCCCCATGTCTTGTTCATTGGAGTCAAGTATTTTTGATGTTCCTGTATTCCAATGTATTTGGGATGCATGTGGTCTATTAGTGCTCATTAATTTTGTATTGTGATAGGTCCACACTTGACCAAAGTAACAATACCCTTGTTAACTTTGTTTGACATGATGGAACAGATACATGATGTCGTCTCCAGCATTCACTAAGGGGTGTGATCAGAACAAATTAACCACAACCTCCAACATTAGAGGGCATTAAGAGAAGCCACTGCTTCCAGAAATACACTCAAGTGTGCAAATTGATCTGACCATAACATGTTTGTTTTTCTACTCTCAAGAAAGCAGAACATGATAATGTCTTTGGAATAAACTCGAAAGTCCCTGTGCTAGGAAAAGTATCTCACTGGAGTCAAGCAGGCTAATGTGTTCATCTTTTATGAAAAGGACAAAAACACAAAACTATCTATTATACATATACGATCTGATATGAATCAGTAGCCTATAGTTTGAACGTTGCTAAGAGATATATTAAGACAGAAGAAGGTGGTTGGATGGATGGAGATAGGTCCTGTTAATATAAGCCATACTGTTTAATTTGAAGGCCCGTCTGGGGGCTAACATCGAAAATTTGCTGAGGCTACTTATGCTGTGGGATGTAGAATCGGTTTATAGATGTGGCTCATTGCTACAGTTGGTCGTCTTTAAACCTAATGGTCGGGGGTTCAATCCTCAGCTCCTGCAATCACATGTCGAAGTGTCCTCGGGCAAGGCACTTAACCCCAGTTTTCTCTTGCTGCTGTGTCTGCAGCATGTGAATGTATATAAATGGGAATCATATCAAATCACAGTCTGTATTTTTAAGAATAGACTTAAAACTTTCGTTTTGATAAATCTTATAGTTAGTGCTGGTGTAGACCAGCTCTTAGTTATGCTGCTATAGACTTAGACTACCGGGGGAACTGGCACCTTGAGCTCCTCTCTCTCTCTCTCTCTCTCTCTCTCTCTCTCTGTGCATATACAGTACATCATATTACTGCATGTATCTATCTGTAAATCTCAGTCACTAACCACCCACTTTCCTGAGAGCTCTTGAGCTCTCTTAGGCTCCTCAAGATCGTTGGTTGGCGGCCTGTCAGAACAACCCCCCCCCCACCGGATTGTTGATTGTTGATGGACGGTTTGCCTCCCCCCACCCCCTTGCTCCCTTATCCCATCTCTCCCCCTATCCCTTTCCAAGCCCGGCACAGTCTAGGCCTGTGAAGGCTGTTTCGTAATGAGCCGGGGATCCGGCCGAAGATTTCTGCCTTTTAATAAGGCAGTTTTTTCTTACCACTTTCTTGTCACTTTTGCTGCTTTGCTAAAGTGCTCATGATGGATAGGCCGGATCTTTGTAACATAGCAATAAGTAAAGTCTTTTACCTGCTTACTTGGGTTGGGAACCAGAGGGTTGTTGGTTCAAGTCCTCGTGCAGACTAAGTCTGGAAATTGGTCTGGTAGCTGGAGAGGTGCCAGCTCACTTCCTGAGTACTGCAGAGCCAGGAGACCTTGCTGTGGGCAGCTACTCACTCAGACACCTTTCCATTACTGAGTCCATTGTGGCATGTTCAACAACAGAGTGTAAGAATGTGATTTCCCCTCGTGGGATTAATAAATTATACATCTTAATCTTGTTTTATTAAAGAAACCCAGGGTATACACTGCAGTTAAAATGTAGAAACAAACACCCTTAACTTCATACCCCCTTTTCATTAATTAACTCCCCTCCAAACCCACCCCCATGACCTCTGCATAGCACATTAACCAAGGTCAACTTTATTTATTCAGTGTTTAAAACAAACATGGTTTACAGCAAGCATTAAAACAAAACACACGTATAATTAACAGAAGTTAAAAGCATATAAAACCATAAATTAAAAGACATGACAAGTAAAAGACAAGTAAATTTGTGCCCATACTTACATATACATTATTTTGATCATCATAACGACAACAACAATTATTATAATAATAATTATTATTATGATTCTTGTTGTTAGTGTTGTTGTTGTTATTGTTGATTTGATTGTTGATTTTATTTGTATTTATTTTCTATCCTAAACGTCCAGCCAAAGAAGATTAAAGACGACGTCTGATGGCTTTATTTTGAAAGGTCCACCCCAGAAGTCCCGGTGACGTCATTGCAGCGCAGTTCCTGCACAGCTGTTTGAGGGAGGTAGAGGCGATATTTAGCTTCCTACTACAGCGTTGTTTAGTTTTGTATTTTTAGCCTGGTTAACGGGACACTTCCCCCTCCTCCGTGTCCAGACTCTTCAGCCTCAGCTCGCAGCACATTTTGGTTTACAGGCGTTGGTGTTGACGATGGTTTTGTCAACATCCCATCAAGTCGCCCTGGCGTTCACGGCCGTGCTCTTCACGTTTGTCGTCCTGCCCAGGATGTTTGGTGTCGGCGGCGGCTCCGGGACGAAGGAGTCCAGATTTGACCCCCGGTACAGCCGTAAAGGTAACGAAAACTTCACTGTCCCCTCAGAAGGAAACATCATGCAGCGACATGCTTCCTTGACAGAGCATTAGCTGTCTATTTTACATGGAAAGAGGTTATGCTATAAGTCTTCTCTGCCGACATGAAGCAATTTAATATCGCGATATAGACTATCCTTAGCTAGTGTTACATTGTTGTTGTTAGTCTGTAATAAACCTCAATCTAAACACTTTGAATGCAGGCCAGTCACAGTTGCGTCTGCAGCTTCTTACAACATTAACTTTTAGAGGCTTACTTTCCTGTAACCTGCACTAAGAACTAGGGCTGGGAAATATATGGAGTTTTTAAGATACATTGATATATTTTCCAAGAAGATATAGGGTAAGACAATATCGTTAATATCGATATAGGTTATGTTGCATTAAAATAACGTTACAGAGGTGCCAGGCCACCTTTTTCTCATCTCACTGATGATGACTGACTGTCTGCTCCTCCTCTCTCTCTCTTTTATTGTATTTAAGCAACATTTTTATTTTATAATATTACTTTTTTAAATTCACAAACAGGTAGTTTATTTTTCCATGTGTTTTCACTGTTAATAAAATACATAACCATATATATCGAGTATCGCCATTCAGCTAATCCATATCAAGATATGAGTGTTGGTCCATATCGCCCAGTCCTACTAAGAACTAGCCAAGGGGTTTCCAAACTCCACCATGCCAACGACCCCCCATATAGCATTCACCTCTGGTGGGGACCCCACATCTAAATCATTTTCATAAATTCATTTCACGATATGTTTGCGAGTATTAAAAAATGAAATGATCGGCCTCTTCATATGTTGCCTTGTTTTTCTACTTCGTTTATCATTCATTACATTCAATATGCAGTTGTGTTGTGTGTTACTCTATAATATTGAAATATTTTAGTTAGTTTATTTGTATTTTTGTCACACTTTTGTCCTTGACTGGTAAATGATGTTTTCCATTTGTACTCCGTGTACAATGTTGTTTCTGTGTTTGTAGATTTTGTACTAAAACAGAGGGAGCTCTTATCAGGTCTCAGATCAGATCATATTTGGCATGACTTTGTCGTCATCTTGGATTGTTGTTATTTATTATTACTCCCTTTCTTGTCTCCTGAGACCCCCCCCCCCCCCTCCCCTGTCTGACAAGGGAAACTCATGCTGTGAGGGACATGTGTGAACAAGCTCTTCAGGCAGCTTTGTGCGATACATTCTCTGGGGAAAGCTTTTATCCAGGTGTAGTTTCTCCTGGATTCCTCACCACCTGTCCCGCTGTGGTATTGTGTTCACAGCAGCGGGTTCGAGCGCGGTGAAAGGTCAGTCCATCAACGTGAACGCCCCTGGTTCCCCTCAGAGCCCTGAGAACGTGCAGCAGATGAAGAAGCTGATGGAACAAGAGCTGAAGAACGACAAGTACAAGACCAACAACAACAACAGCAAAGGCTACGTGTTCACACTGATGCCCCTCTATGCCATCGGGGTGGGAGTGTTTGCAGCGTACAAGTTTTTGAAGGTATTTAAAGATACGAAACGGCAAATTATAGAGAGAATTTAATCGTTTTTTAAGAGCCGACACTAAGTGCAAAATGTGTTTTAATCATATTTCATACAGATCAAGTCCTCAGATGAGCAGGCACAGAAGACCAAATTAACAAAAGGAGCCAAAAAGTCTGTGGAGGCAGGTGTGTATGGCATGCACAGGGGTTCTCTGTTTGCATATGTGTGTTTTCTTTGGTCAAACATATATTTGTTTACAGAGAGTAAGTCAGATGTGTGGTGTGTGTGTGTGTGTGTGTGTGTGTGTGGGTGTGTGTGTGTGTGTGTGTGTGTGTGTAGAAAACCAGTTGAACGAGCTGGAACAAAGGTTAGCACAGACCGAGAGGATGCTCAACTCCATCCTCACGCAGCTGGACCCGCTCACTAACTGGTGAGTCATGATCACGGCCAGTCGTTACACACACACTTGGTGGACTCGTGTGTGTGTGTGTGTGTGTGTGTGCACAACGCCTTGGCTGTATACTTTGTGTAAACAATCATGGAACATGAACCTCACTTACCTGTGCTCTCCTGTCTCTATGGCTTCTTCTTTGTCAGGCCTGCAGTTTAAATAAGATCACTGTCAGGTGATGTTAGGATTCAGAGTGGTGGGAGCGATTCTGACAGTTAAATATCACACTGTTTGATCATTCAGTCTGTTGTGCAATATTGAAATATCTCTACTGCTCAATGCTGAACACATCTCTCCAGCTACCAGATTCCAAACCCAAGTCCCTACAGACTGAGCTGCTGCCACCCCAGAAGTGAGACCTGCGGTATAGGGGCGCTTTGAGTAGTCAGAAAACTAGATAATATCCTTTTTTAAAATCATATTTCTAATTGTACTTTTATATATAAGTGTTGTCACTAGGGCTGGGAATCTTTGGGTGTCTCACGAGTCGATTCAGGATCCTGTTAAAGGGCAGCGTGATCACTATACTTGATCAGAGTAACTCCTCTGAGGGTCATTAGTTCTTTATCCTCATGTAGTTTGTGTCTCTTCTCTCCGCAGTGTGAAGTCGGTGGCTCAGGAGCAGAAGAACGAGATCATGTCTCAACTCCAGACCATCCGGTACCTGATGAAGAAGAGGGGAATGGAATGTCCGCCCCTGAACCTCAACGGTAGGCGGATGCTTTGTTCACAATGTGATGAATGCAGTTAACTGTTCACACCGCTGCACCGTGGTTTGTCTGTGACTCCGTTTGAAACAGCAGCTCAAGCATGAAAAGAATCTTCACACAAACAGACAGTATTATAACAGATTGGGAGATTTTTTCCAATAATAACCAAATAAATTGCAAAACGTGTAGTAAAATGCAGCCGCGCTTCACGCTGCAGCCACGGCTTGCAGAATGAGTCGGCGTGCCATCAGTGTTGCGCGTCGTGTTGAGACAAACCAACATTTGAATTTTGACCACTGCAGCCACATTGAAATACATCTAAAGAAAAGTGTTTGCATCTGATTTTCATCTGATGAATGTGGTGGAAGTCTCAATTTTAAAAAGATGAAAATAAAACTTGAGTGGTAGCGTGTGTAGAGAAATGATAATATAACATGTGACTGACTTTTGACTTCTTGTTACATTTATATAAAGATAACATAGGTAATTTAAAACTCATGGTTATATCTGAATAAGGATGTGTGTCCAATAAGGACGTGTTTGTGCTGGCTGCGCCCACATTCACGCTCATTGTTGCTAGGTTATGAAAACTATCTTCTGTGTCGCTAAGAAAACATGAGAGTAGTGTAAAGGAATCATGTCGTGGCATTAGCAGCAGCAGCTGGAAATTGAACCCCTGAAAAGAAATTGAACCCCTGAAAAGACGAGTCGGACTAGTTTCTCCTCCACAATGTATGTGGACAAAGCTGATATCATTAGCCCCGTCCATATTTTATTTGGATTGGTCAGTGAGGGAGATGTGACCTGTTGGTGAGTTTCATTTGATCTCGGACGTCGGAGTTGCCGGTCTGATATGTCATCAGTTTTTACCGGGAGTCGAACATAAATCAATCAGAGATTAAATCATTTAAAAGAAAAGGTTTATTTTTACAATCAAACAAAGAAACAAAAAAACTATGAGCTGAAAACCTGGGGTACAAAACAAAAAAGAAAGGTCAGCCACCCAAGCCAGCCCACACCGGGGCCGTCGGACCGGGCACTCACCCTCTACCACCAAAACCACAGGATCCCTTAAAACAATGAACAAAAGCCGCGATAAAGGGATAAACACTCTACCAGGTTACTCGGACAACATTGATACTGAATAGACATTCTGTTGTGACTCTCAGAGCCAAGAAGAGAGATGCATGAGAGCCGGGCAGTTTCTGCCTACTTATTTGCACCGTCCTCAATCACCCCCAACCATACACACCCTAGAGAGAGACAAAAGCATTTAGTCAACAGGTTACAAACAGTTACAAAGTACAACCAGCAGAGGTGGACAAAACAACCATACAACGTAACAATCATTGTGTTTATTAGCAGTCTAGTCTTCTTTTAGTGTAATTAAATCAAACACACGGATAGGATCGTGCAAGTTATATCTGTGGACATGTTCTACAATTCTACAATTCACTTATCAGACCCTTTTATCCAAAGAGACGTACGTCAGAGAGTAAGAACAACACAAGCAAGGATCTAGAAAAAAGGGAACAATGTCAGTAAGAGCAAACGATCAGCTTTGAGTCTGATTGGACACACAGGTGCTGACAGGAAGTGACCAGAGGCAAAGCACAACATTGAGGGCAGTTCTTGAGAGCTCTAATCAGTATAGAAACCATCTTATAAGTCATCGTTATCAAACAAAAACCATCGTCATTACCATCATCATCATCAATAATAATGTGGAGACCATCATCATTAAGTTAGTAGGTATTCATGAAAGAGCTGGCTCTTTAGCTTTTTCTTAAAGGTGCAGAGGACTCTGCAGATCCAATGGAGTTTGGTTGTTCGTTCCACCACCGGGGGGCGACAGAGGAGAAGAGTCCAGTTAGCATCTGTTGCTGATGCTGAGGGCGTTTCAGTGCTCAGGACGCTGAGCACTGAAAAAGCTGAGCTGCATTGGTTTTGTTTAAAAATGGGTGTTGCCTGCGCAAAGAAACATCCTATGTGGACCCAGACTCTAACAGAATACAAAATCAGAAAACATTGTTGTTGTTTTTCCATTTCAAACAATAGAAACACGTCAGTGCTCTTAGTCAGAACTGATGTAAGGGAACACTACTTTCACTAAACCGTTTTCCGGATTGCGTTCATTTATTTTGTGATGCCCTTTGCTCTGATGGTTTTATTTTGATTGAAAGTGTGGACGACATGGATCACAAATAGGCTGATTAACAACTTGAGCATTCTGACACTAACCCCTTTTTTTTATACGCCGGATTGTTTTCCGCTCACAATCTGCGGTCGTTCATAGCAGTGAAACTCTCCAGCTGCTGCTTGAACTGTGACACCGTAAAACAAACACAATCCACCTGCTGCTGATGTGTTTGCTTTTAATGGACACATGCACAGGCTGGAGCTCAAACTGCACCACACAGCACAATATATATAACTTTAAAATGTTGAAATGTGCTGTACATTTCTTTATAAACCTTCCTGCACTTCAGTCAGGATGAAAGAAGTTTAATTATCTGCTCCTGTTTTAATTCAATGTTTATTCTGTTTTATTCTAACTCTGCACCTCCTCCTTGTTTGTTGGTGGAATTGTCAGTCTGTGCTTTATGTACACAATGTTCCACTGCTCTCAGTTCATTAGCACAATGACCCTACTGCAATCTGATATCAGGCCGTTCACTTCACATTTCCCGTTGCTTCCATTGTCCTCTCCTCGGATGCGGTTTTCTATTAAACTTCCTGCCTCATTGTTCAAATTAAAAGCTGCAGAGTGGATTCAAATCAGAGAATTTCATCCTCATTTCACATCTGTGTGAAACACGAGTGTGAGAGTTACTTCACTGCGGGCAGGAAAAATCAGAGTGGAGCTGAGTGAAGCATCAGGGCAACAGTCAAACTGCCAAACTCATTTCAACATTAAAGTCCACGCACCGAAAGTCTTTATTTCTAGTGCAGTTTTTTATTTTCAGACCACAATTCATCCATATTAAATGCCAGGTTTTAGTAGAAATTCCACATGTATTTTCCCTGTTGATTAACTATTGATTATTGTTGTTTGTTTTCATTTTTTTTATATATATAGATCTTTTAATATTTTCATTTCATTGTACAATGTTCCCCTTTGTTATTTTGTTGTATTATATCTTTACTTTAATACAGTGTATAACTTCTGCACAGTTTATTTTAATTTACTTAGCTGTTATTACATTTTTTATTTTATTTGTACTTTTCTACTCTTTTTTTCTTATAATCTTATTCTATTTTATATATAATTTTAACTTTTTTGTAGAAGCTGACTCAGGGAGAAACGCACAAAAATTCCAATGTACCTGTACTGTCCTGTACAAATGGCAATAAACATCTATTCTGTTCTTTCTGACTTTCAGAGGCGTCCTGCGGGCGTAATCTGGATGAGCTCATCGAGTCGCTCGGAGCCAGAGAAACCTTGATGGCGGCGGAAGCTTCTCTGGCAGAGAATCAAACCTCTGGAGGAACAGCGGAGGCTCCTGGGAAAGACTATGTAAAGCATGTGGAAGCTGAAGATGAAGCTGCGACAGAAGGGGAGGAGATGAAGGAGCTCAGTCCAGAGAAATCTGAAGGGGAGGAAGAGGAAGATGGAAAAGAGGAAGGTGTAGAAGAGGAGGAGGAGGAGGGGGAAGGGGAAGGGGTGGAGGACCCGCAGCTGATGCCTTCGTTAGAGAGCTCGTGTGAGACAAACATTGAGGAGATCGGAGCGGAGCAGGCGGCGTCGGGCCTCAGGAGACGCAACAGACCTGAATGAACTCCCTGCAGGACTCCTGCACCGCACAGACATGTGACAGATTATTGTGATTATTTATTATCAGAGAAGCTTTCACTCCAAAAGGCTTTTTGCATACACATCAAAACACATATTGCATTTAGATGACACATGAAAAGCTCTCTAAACAGCAAGACATCGGGCTCTATTTTCTTGTTGTAGCACAAAGTTCACTTCATGCAGGACATGTCCACGTCTGTCTGCTGTTATCGCATGTACAGGTTCAGCGTACTGTGTGCAGAGGCTTTGGCTCGGTAATTATTCATCATCCTCTCAGTCAATCACAAACATGAGGGAGAGGGGGTAACTCCAGGTTAAACACTCAGAGCTTCAATGGTGGACATGCCTAACCTCAGACAAAGCAGGTAAAGTTCCAGATAAGAGATGAACCCGTGTTAAATCACCGCCTAACTACCATCGCTTCTCTTGACCCTGAACCAAACAGAGACCCCAATAACTCTCTCTTGTGATTTCTTTCATATGTTTCCAGGTGTATTCATTCTCCAGGTACTGACTTCAAATCTACGTCTAAGACAGGAGCGGAAACTAGTTTTGATTTAGTGTAAGTCATTGTGTTATTTGATTGCCATCATGTGAAAGCTCTGCTGCAGCAGCTGAAAGAGTAAGCCTCAAACAGAATCCCTCATTTATAGGAGTAACGTCTGATCTACTTCCTAATGATGGAGGAGTGTTTCAGAAGCCGAGCTTACCCGCTTGCACAGTTTGTGATTTTATTCTGCGCAAGTTGTGCTTCCTGAATTTTTTTCAGCTCTTCCCTTCTAGCCTTGAATACGTGTTCACGTATGCGTTATTTATTAATTTACTGTCATTTGTGGAAGTGGGCTGGCTGCTGCTGGTCGTGCTTGTGATTGGTAATTGACTTCAAACATCATCCCTCTTCTGTGAGCGTGCTCACAGCCAGACGTGGAAACAGCAGGGTCTACTAACAGCACTGATAACCTCTCGGTGTGACCACTTAGTTTGGGCTTATTGGAGCAGTTAGAGTAAACATATCCGGCGGGGGTGTTTGACTTGCTTCATAATACAAGCATGTGGCGCTTTAGACTAAATTCGGAAAGAACTAACAATTTGTTTTATTATCTTATTTTTCATCCTCTTCTATGCTCATCATCTCCTGATAGGTTTAAAGAAACGCACGTTTTGCATAATCGCCACACATTGTGTTTTCATTAACACCACTACACTACTACATGAGTGGGAGATGGTGTTGTTTCTGCAAACATATTGTTTGTATATCTGTCCACAGGTGTTTAGATATCAATCATAATGCGACAACATAAAGGGAAGACATACTTTATCAATCCCTGAGAGGATTGATAAATCGATCCTCTGTTCCATTGTTCTCTTGCAGTCGACCAAACTTACCTGGACACATAGTGCAGTGGTTTGCGCTGTTGCCTCACAGCTAGAAGGTTCCTTGTTCAAATCCCTGTTGGCAGTTTGCATGTTCTCCCCTGTGCATGCAGGGGTTCTCTCCAGCTTCCTCCCACAGTCCATAGCTGTTCCTGTTGGGTTAAATGGTGATTTAAACAAGGGGTGAGCTGTCAAAAACTGGAGAGAAGGAGACTTTTTTTCAATCATGCTACATGCACTTAGACCAGGAATACACACATGCACAAACAGGATCCTGTGGACATGCTCTAATGGGGGAGATGTTGGAGTGAGGGAGCTGCACAGCAGTGGGTTTGGTGAGACTTTAGTCCGTACAGGGACCTGAAGTCCCTACAGGCTGAGCCACTGATGCACAAACACATAAGGCGTTACCTGTTTTAGACTTTGTGCTGACATGAAAATAGAGCCCGTAATGTTCAACAGACACATTTTTCTAACATTAATAATAACTTTTTAATATTGCCTGTTTTTGGAATGACATTTATAGATATTTTGACAAATTGTATTTATCGTTTTAGGTTGCACCTGCTGTAATGCTGAAGCCAAACATTTAAAGTATATATGCTACATTACAGGTAGAAGGTGTGGGGTGCTCTTAAACTAAATATGAACACACGTTTTGTGTAATGACAAGAAAAGAGGTTTGATTTATTTATTTATTTTTTTTGTTTCAATGTTTTGGTTTTTTCTGGCTAACAGCACCAAGTCCCCCTCTTCACTCTCTCTAAATCTGACCTCTGCTGCTCTTCCTGTAACTTTCAACGGTGCAATTTGCTGCTTGCATTTAGCCATAAATTCTACTCATTCTGCCTTTACAGTCAGCAACAGTCACCTGCTTATTTCCTTTATCAATAACTTAATAGACACAAATGAACTCAGACTCACTACTGTCCATTTTTCTCTTGCAGTTAAACTTAAATAGAGATGCTTTGACAAGACTTAGCAGCACACATGGTGCAGCAGTTAGCACTGTTGCCTCACAGCCTGAAGGTTCCTGGTTCAAATCCTCATTGGGCAGGAGCTCCATGCATGCGTGGGCCCTCTCTGGCTTCCTCACACAGTCCAAAGACATCTTTAGAGTTTAAAGGTGTCTCTAAATTGTAGATGTGGCTGGTTGTCTGTCTCTATATGTCAGCCCTGTGATTTACTTGCTGGGGTCGGCTCCAGCCCCCCAAGCAACCTCGAACAGGAAAAGAGGTTTAGATGATGTGTGGATATATACCTGGACACAGTATATTGAAGACATGTTGAAAAATGAATACGTTAGCATTGAAAAGGGTTTTCTAATATAATTCTTATTGTTAGCATGGATAGCGTTGATGACGCAGCGTCTGTCTTTGTGTGGAGGAACTGTGCTGTCATTTTAAATTGCAATTTTTTTTGATCCAGCAGATGTCGCCCCTGAGCACCATCATGAAACCAAAACAGCTCGCGCTGCATTGTTGTGTTAGCATGCTAATGCTAGTGATCTTTATTATGCTCGTATCTTCACACTGCATGTGAAATGAGCGTGATCTAGAAACACAGTTAAGCAGTGAGTACAGTATGTTATTCTTCTTTTCTCTAGTCCCTCAATTAAACAACTTTTATACATGAGGGGAGGAGTCAGCCGGCCGTCCTGGCGATGTAAACAAACTGAAGATAGGACTCTGAAAACATTACAGACAGTGGGACTCGGGTGTTACACCCATTGTAGACAGTCATGACTCACAGAGTTATTTTCAGAGGATATACTTCATTTATATTACATTTAAGTGTGAAAAATTACATATAAAGACTTTAACCTCTTTAACACCACTACTCTTTTGAACTTATCAGGAAAACTAGAGAGGAATATAGTTTCATGACAAGATCCATAAAAGTCTTTACTTCAACTTGTTTTCCCTTTTATATATTACTTTAAAAAAAGATTTATCATAAAGGGATTGCCGCTAACGCTATGGGATGCGATGAGCCTGCAGAATATTAAAATGTATATTGTCGAAGTTTGAACTTCTGGCACGATTTTACATCCAAACATGACTATGCATGCATGTATGATTCATTTGAATTTAATTTTTCTTTGTCTCCACTTCGAGGCCGCGTGATGTTTATTTATTCAAGCGGAAAATGACAATCATGAGATCAACACAAAACACAAACGTTTATGTTTCACGCTTACATTCAGAGTTGTTTTTTCATGTTTTTTATGTTTTTTTGGATACATACAATATTGAAAGGAACCGCTCATGACTTTGCTTTTTGTTTCAGCAACATTTAGAAATTTTGATATGAAATTATTGATGTATAAAACTGAGGAGGCTTTGTCTTTGGGTCACACATACAACATCAGTAACTGTTGAAGCTGAGAAAGAAATGCCCTGATACCTTTTTGTTAACACTTTGACGTTAGTGTACGAGTTAAATGATTCCACAGCACAAGAGCTACAGACATTCATTTAAATGAGTGTGAATGTAATTTTTACATCATGTGATGGATGAACAGATAAGCACTGACATTGACAGATGAGCTCAGTCCTTTCTTTCACTTTGCAGTGGATAATTGTAGCTTCAGTCTAAATGTCATAAAAAAAATGTTTTTTTTAAAAGGTTTAAATAAATGTAACACGGTTAGGACAAACTGATATGCCCCTGTAAAAAAGCATATTTAATGCTCCCTGAGGTAAATTCTGGTTTACACTCTGTTATAGAGAGACATGCTTCTCACACACATGCACAAACCGGATCTGTGGACATGCATTAGTGGAGAGATGTCAGAGTGAGAGCAGCTGCACTGGGAGTGTGTCAGAGGGGTTCGGTGCCTTGCTCAAGGGCACCTATGCAGTACTCAGGAAGTGACCAGGCACCTCTCCAGCCACCAGAACATCTTTTTATACTTTGGTCTGCACCTGGACTTGAACCGGACGACCCACTGGTTACCGACCCAAGTCCCTCTACTGAGCTCCTCCCGCCCATTTATTGTGATTACTGTAAAATGTAAAGCATGCCCACGAATCATTGCCTTATTCATGATAATATTTGAACCTTAGAGTCTGCAGGGCGTTTGGATTGAGTTCACATTTTTCCTTGTGTTCAGGAGCAGTTTTTCCCTCTAAATGTATCGCCACACCTTGAAAACCACAAATCTTTGCCTTAATGTAATATGTAAATGTTTTTGTATCAGTTCCTACCCTGTTTGTGTTTCATGTTGTGTTTCATGCAGCGAGCGTTGAGTGAGGAAACTCAACTTGCCCTCAGTAGAAAATAAAACAAGAAAAAGTGATGCGGTTTTCTGCGTGTCTTTTTAAACAAAGGTGTGTTTTGTTAAGATGAGACTCACTAATGATACCGCCACTAATACTTTAAATACTGTTTGCCAGCGTCGTGTCGAGACGGTCGAGACACACATGCCAACTGAGACAAGGACAATGCAAAATGTAGAAGACAATGCTGCCGTATTTTTGCCTCCACCTTGTCCTCTGCACACACTTTGGTGTCAGACAGTTTGCAGCTCGTATTTACGCAGGATAATGGAAACACGTCTCCTGCAGAGTTGACAGAACTATAAGGACACTTAACGTTCATAAAGTATAAACTTCAGATACTGTTACAGAAGTAACTTGCACGCACAAGATATTTTTTGGGGACTTCAGGGGCTCCATAATTGTCTTTTTTTGCAACAAACTTTATTTATACCATATTAGTACAAAACATTAACAGGCATGTATATCAATTTAAAATAACAGATACATATGTTACATAGAAACGAGGGACAGTTTCAGGATGCATTTCACAAAAATAACTGTTTTTTTTTATTGTGAACACCTTATTTTGAAAAAGGGAAGTTACCGCAGACTCGCAGTATTAGTCTCAAACTAATTTCACCGACCTCCGAAGCTATTCCCTGAACAGTATTCTGTTTGCTCCCGTGTCATACACGTGTATCTCATAGCCAGTTTTATGGTAAGACTTCTGCATTTAGCACTTTATTTTGAAAAAGGAGATTAATAACAGACTCGCTCTCTCTGTCTGTTCTCCTGCTCGCTCTGCAGTCCGGAGCATTTACCATAAAGCTCAGAATACGTGGGCACTTCAAATTTAGGGGCGGCTCACTTCACCATGTAAAAGCGAGGAGCGGCTGGCTTGACCTCAGTCCCACATCTGATAAGGCCAATAATCAGTGTTGGGCAAGTTACTTTAAAAAAGTAATTAGTTACAGTTACTAGTTACTTCTCCCAAAAAGTAACCAAAGTAGTTACTGAGTAACAAATTATAAAAGTAACTAGTTACTTTGGAAAGTAACTATTTCGTTACTTTCAAGTAAATTTTTAAATGCTCAAATGTGTCAAAGAATTTGGACCCCACCTTCCACCCCTCTTTAACAGAACTTAAAATACATGTGCATGTTCAATTATTTATGATAAATCTGAATATTATAATGAAATGGACACTTAATACAATCAATAATTAACAGAAACAGTGTACACAAATCTAAACTATTTTAATGTTGCTGTGGGACAAAGTGAGGCTAGCCTCCAATCAAATGTCATGTATTATTGTAGATATTATAATTACTATGTTTATATAGTGGATCCGTAAAAATGACATAATAGATGTTTTGTCTGCTGTGGTAGACAAATATTCTAATTTCTCAAATGTCTGTTTGAGCTCGACATTCATTTGAGCATGTTGGGCGTCTATATAGTTCGCGAACGTCTTTCTACATTGCAGGCCCTGCTCTGACCGGTATTTTGGCAACTAGTGCTCTGAATGACTCCGACTCAACCATCGATAATGGCAGCATATCCTCCACAACATACCTGGCTACCAGTTTGTTTAGCTCGGCCTGAGACAAAACGTGTGGTGGTGGGGCCGTAAAATCAAGCTTCGGTTGCTTAGGTTTTGTGGCACTGTCTCCTTCTCCTTCGGGGGTCTTCTTGGCCACTAATTTCGTGGAAGCATGTAGCGTTAAAAGATGTTTCAATAAGTTTGAATTGCTCGACACCGACGTGGAGAGGCTTTTGACTCCAGGGCATAATGTGCATTTCACGATTACACTCGTTCCTTTAATTTCTTGGAAGGAAAAGTAATGGCTATACTTCCATTTAAGAAGGCTACTTTGGATTATTTGGGCTCGCCATTCCTGTTTCTCGTTGACTCATTTGTGTTGTTGTGTGTTCGACTATGCATGCTTTCGAATTTGTGTAAACAACACCCGCCCAAACTACCTCTGATTGGCTCACCATGAAATTTTTACTCTACCTCAGCCAATCGTCATCATTTATGCGGTTGTCTCGTGTCCGCACTCACCAAAGAGGAAGAACAGTAAGAAATATCTTTGCCACTCGGCTTAGAGATCTAGTTGGTCTGATGAAAAACAGCTTCAGTCATAGTAACGCGCCGCATTTTTTGGTACTGTAGTGGACATGCCAATCAGTAATAGTCCTGAGAGGACGTCTGAATCTGCCAAAATGAGGAAAATAATGTTTGTCTTTATGAGGAAGTTTTTGGTCTGTTGAATGTCTTATTTTTTAAACTCTGCTATCAACGTTTTTATGAACCATGTTCAACATTTTACTGACTCTGAACTTTCATACACCTCTTTCCATCTTTTTGTAAAGTGTCTCGAGATAACACTTGTTATGAGTTGACGCAGATTCTCGCCAAGCTTCAGTGTGCGAGACCTTCACTGGAGCCAAGCTGAAGGAAGTGTTGATGTTCCCCTCTGTATCCTGCAGATGGCGCCACAGGAACACAGTTACAGAAGATGCAACGAGGTAAAAGCGCTCAAAGACTTTGCACTTTGTGTCTGAGGCTCATGTCACGACACCAACACCAAATCTTCAGTTTTCCATTTTTTAAGGTGAGAAACAGATGAACATAGAAGTATAGAAGGATT